TCTCTTTCAGCCTCAACTTAATATGGCAATGTTTATCTTTATTTTTGAAATTCTTATGGACCACACTTCTTGTATGTGGCCCATATATATATATATATTGCAAAAGAATAATATTTGTGAATTTTTGATTACATTATATCAACGATGTAAAACCCAATCAAATTAGTTAAGAGGAACAATTAAATATGAAAAATGAGACGGAGAAGAGATGGGAGAGAATAACAACAAATGAAATGTGTTGGATTCTATGGAGTTCACTTGCTCACTTGTTCATAGTGGCGGACCTAGAAAATTAGTTTAGGTTGACACATTAACAAGTTCTATTTTGTTTTTTTAATTGACCACAAAAGTTTCATATATGCATATTTGTTGAAATTATATTTAATACTTAAAAAATTATTAAACAAAAGGTTAAAAACTAATCTACATAGTGTGTAATAAAAAATTAAAAAGAAATTAATTATAATTTGGTACTAAGAATGAGACTAATTATTATTATTTACAATTGACCCTGATAATCTTTTATTTTTTGAAAGCGTGACAAATTAATGCCTTCAACAAATACTTTTTTTATATATAAAATTATGGTAACAAATTTTCATTTATGACCCTACAGATTCTTGAGTATAGTTATATATACCTAATTCAATGTAGTTATTGCATTAATTGTTAGGTTTAATGTTAGATGGAGTTCACTTTCAATCCAATATTTGCATTGAATTAAGTTCTCAGTTTAAGTTCAAATAATATTTTCCTAATTTCTTACATAATGATATTTATTTCTATACAATAATAAAATAACCCTATAAATTTAAAAAAATTATAGAATAACTTCAATATATCTAAAATTTATTCAAGAATGTTCGAAGATTATCTAAAAAAACTCTTTGATGCTTGTTCACATACTAAAAGCTAAAGACCGCACTTCTTTTCTAAAGCTCCACCTTAAAAAAAAAAAAAAACTATATTGCATTCGTGCTCTTACCCCTCAAAAAAACTTTTACTATTGAAGAAATCGTGAAAAGATTGACTTGTCTCCTCTTTTATCCCCAGTTTAGAAACCTGCCCAATGCGAAAATGAGGGATTTCATTTGGAGACTTCTACTATTGAGTGCTCAACTCAATTTAACTCGGTTGTCGTTCCATGCCCATCATCAATCATATATCAAAAGCAGGATATGGAGTTTTATTTTTCACATCAAACTATTTGTTACAAGTCCAATAATAAATAAAAATTTTTTTCTTTTTTCTCTCTATATCATATCGATAGAAAAGCAAATAGAAATTTTTTAACTAAGTTAAATTTAAGAATAATGTTACTTAATTTGGGATTTAATTGATGGGGACCTAATGACTTCGGACCATCCTTTGGACAATGAATTTATTAAATATTAGAATCCACTATTAGACTTAATGTTACAATATATTAGGTATTGAAATTAAATCTCAATAATATTGGTCAAAAGTTATATTTATATATAGATGTAAATTATGACTTTATTTCGTTTGCCACACTAAACCCAAAATAAAATGTTTAACCATGAGTTATTATTTTGTATGTATGTGTGTCTATATACATTTTATATTTTATTATAGGAGATTTAAACTTGCGTCGACTATTTTCTTGAACTCTAACATTGGTCATTGTAGTTCAAGTTAATTTAAGAACATGTTCTCTAGAGAACAAATATGACTGGCTTATTAAGGAGACTGAGAAGTATTTACAAAATGATAGGCTTGATCATTTCATTACCTCTAAGAGAATTATTATTTTATATATTATTCTTATAGAATGATTTTACACAAGCTCCCCGGGGTGGGTGCGTGGTGAGAGAGAGAGAGAGAGAGTATAATGATTATAGACGGTTGGGTATGGTTGGAGCTGTGAGTTATGAGTAGTCAAAGATATAAAAGAATTGAATGTTATTATGGATATTTCATGTGGTGCGTCCAACCAAGTGCTTCCTCTCTTTTTAAAATTTTGGACTTCACAAGTTAGGTTTTTTTTTGGGGCTACAGTGTTCATTCTCGAACTCTAAGATCGGTCACTATAGTTTGAACTAGTCTAATGATATGTCTTTTAAAAAACTAAAGGTGATTGACCTGGTGTGAAAAATATTGAATTTGAGACCTCTTATTTGCAAAATGATAGACTTGATTACTAGATCCCTCTTATGAATTTTCGCGGCAATTTATATTGTAAACTTTGTAAGTTCAAAATTAAAATTTATATTTAGGGGTTAAATTTTTTTTCCCCAAAATTATGCCAAGCGTGTTAAAAAAATAAAAGAATTCATTGGTTAACTAATGACAAATTCTATTTTTTTTATTTTAGTCAAATATTTTTGAGTAATGTTTTTTGAACCTACTTTATTAATCTAATATGCTAATTTAATCACTATGCTTTGTTTTTTCAATAGTGAATTTGAATATTAAATAACATCCACTATCAACCGAACCAAAGAAATGAGTTAGGTCAGTAAATTGAGTTTAAATAACATTGTTAAATTCTTTTTCAATAGGTTAGGCGATTGACCGTGAAATATTCAAAGGACCTCATTTAATCTACTGTGATAGTTACTGGGCATGGTGATTATTGGAAGAACACAATTGACTAAGGTTGCTAGGGTCAATGGGTGTTTTACGTTTAGTCAGTGATATCACTTATCAATAATAATATAGTATTACAGTTGTATTAAATATTTTTTAAATTAATGCCTCATGTGTTTCTAATTTTCAATATATTAAAAAATCAATTATATAGGTTAATAATTTAGCAACTAATTACTCCTTTTTTTTAACGGGTGCGTATAACAGGCGATATCGTAAGCTTTTATGGTAACATTTTTAATGCTATTCCTTAAAGTGAAAAAAACTTTGATTTGTCTAAAAAAAAAATTTACAATTAATAAGATCGAAGAGAAAAGGAATGAAAAATACTCAAAACTCTTGGGATCTACAAAATCTTCTTAAGACCAAGTAAATCTACTCTATTAATTACATTTACAGGTATCCATGTGTATCTCTATTAAGTATTAAAAATAATATATTATATTTCAATCCTTTTGACTATGAACTTGATTGGTAAATATTCTTTATTTTATGAACGAGAAGTGCCAACGTGTTAATAAGTTTATTTGATTGTTTCAAATAGATTTATTCAACTGTCACTAATATTTTTTTCAAAATCATTTATATTATATTGTACGTTTAGGTGCGAGTTATACATAGTAAAATTATAATTGAGAAAATCAAAAATATAATTTGCCCCATTAAAAATACAGAATATCCTGAGATTAATTAAATCTTATCTATTTTATTTATTACATATATCTATGTCTATGTGTATATCCGTATATATCTCCGGTTGGTAAAATGTTCATGAAGCTTAAATATCAAATTTGACTTTCCATACAACAGATAATATTAATAAGTCATATAATTAAGTACTGTCTTGAAATTTCTTACCCTGTATTGAATAACAATCAACTTGGGCCCACTTCACACAAATGCTTTCGTCTTCTTTCTTCTCTCCTCATTTTCCTGCATTCTTCTCTTCAAAAATCCATGATTTTTCAAGTTTTTTCTCTCTTTGTCTGACTTCCTCTATTTCTCTCCTCGTTTACTGAATTGCTAAGATTTTCTGTAAGATTTGCTATCTAGATTCTAGAGAGCTAAACGAAGAAAACCCAGTAATCAGGTCCTGAATTCTTGGTGTTTGGTATGATTGGGATCGATCTGGAGGTCAGCATGTACTTATTAATGGGGTTGCTTTAATGGTAAGATATGTAAATCTTTCCATTTATGCAGGGTAGTATCTCTGACTGATTGGTTGTTAAGCTCAAAATGGTAGATTATATTTAAGATAATGGTCTTGTTACCTTTTTTTTTATTATGGGTTTATATTTTTGCCATAATATTTTCTTCACTGGAAAGTCAATAGATCAATTGCCGATAAATTCTTTGGACATTTGACATTTGGTGTTTTTTTCCTTTGTGGGCTGTCTTTGGTTTTGCTATGTTTTTCAAGTTCTTTTGATTTGTTGGGAGTTGAAGATGCATCAGATTCGGGTAATTCTCTAATCCCAACTGGGATTTTCTGTGGATTCTTCTTGTTTGGGTTGTAACTGTAACTGTTGGGAACATATCCTTGAGATCAAGATTCATAGATTATCATTCACTTTCAATTTTTAATTCGAAATAATTTTTTTCTCCATTGTTGTTTTAGCAATTTTTTCAAGTTTACAATTTATTGTTCAGCATCTATTTAGTTAAAGTCTATAATGATCAATAATTTAATGATTGGGGGGCGGGATTTGAAAATTTTTGTTTGGTTTGATATGGTTGTTGAATATCACATTTATTAAGGAGGTTTGAGATTTTACAGGAATGACACTATATGACTGGGATTTCTCCATTTTTTTTCTTTTTTGTGGCAAGGACGGTTTTCATATTCCTGTGTGTGTGTCTGATCTCTTTTCGGTTTAGTTTTAGTTGACTGTTTGGTTTAATAACATGATGAAACCTCCTATTTTTGTGGGATTTTAGCATTTTTGAATCGAAAAGTCCAATCCAATTTTTTAGAATTCATTTTAGTTTGGATTATGAATTTATTTTGTTTTCACTTCGGATTTTCTGGGAATCGCAGGGTGTTCAATTAGGTGTGAGGACATTTTTCATTCATCATTGTTTTTCTTAAGTGTCAGTTGATTTTCAATAGAGAGAATGATTTTTTTTTGTTGGGCTGGAGAGAAAAAAGGTCGAATTTAACTCCAGTTCGGGCTTCTGGGGTTGCGGAACCTTCGTTAGTGACTTAGCCTGAAGTGATGGAGTTCTCTTCTCTTAGTTTTCTCATCTTTCTGCTTACAGTTTGTACTTTTTCTGTTTAGGAAAGTAGTAGATAATGGCTGCATCTTGAATTATTCGGGTCATTGCTGTTAGATTGAATTCACAGGTTGCAAGAGTTACATAGGGTCAGATAGATAAAGCTGCGAGACTGCATGGACAAACAAGAAACTGGGAACTCTGGAAAATTACATGGTGGGGACCCTGTAGGGTCATGCCAAGAATCTAGCATGCAGAATGGTTCAAGTCCTCATGCAACACCATCGATCAGTCCTACTGCTTCATTGATAAGCAGCGATAGCTGTGTCTCAAGCTGCAGTAAAGTTTCCCTTCTCTTATTGTTACTATTTTGCTATGTTTTGAGAAATTTGGGTCAAGAGGTGTTCCTAACCTTTTATTTTCTAATTTTCAGGTGATTTTTCAGTCGATGCAAACTCTCATGGCCGGTATGCAACCCCTCCCCCAAGCTTCTAAAAAATTATGTCATAAAAGGAAGAAAAAGGAATTATAGTTAGTTGTGATAGAAATAAGAAATTCAATTGTTTCTTGATGCTCAGTCAAAAAAAAAAATTGTTTCTTGATGGTTGTATTATTTTTTTCTATATTTATGAATTAATTTGTTTAATTTCGAAGCGGTTATCAAGAGGAAGGTAACTCAAACGGAAGTCAAGTGGGCCCTAATTTTGGCTTAAAGCGGCATCCGCAAGACATGAGGCTACCAATTCATGTAAGTAAAATCCACAGATCCTCCACGGTGGTGAAAAGCAACCTTGAGGAAAGCAATAATTTAAATGCTAGGTGCAATGGTGGAGATGTAAAATATAACGGAATTGGTGATGATGAAGAAACAAGAAATAATGGTGTGGAAAGAGCTAGTTCAGCTAGTGATGAGGAAACTGGGTTTTCTTCTTATAATGACGAAACTGATAGTCGATTTTGGTTACCACCGGAACCAGAAGACCAAGAAGATGATATCGAGGACAGCGTGGCTAATTATGATGATGATGATGATGAGTGTGGTGACGGAATGAATTGGGGAAAACCAAGTTCTTTTAGTAGCTTTGGAGAAGAAGGAAGTGGAAATTACAGGTTTAAAGAGGGAAAGCAAAAAGCAATGAATGAAGTGATGAACGGCAAGTTCAAGGACCTCGTGGGTCAACTTCTCAAAACAGTGGGGCTTGCCTCTACAGGAAAAGATGGAGAACCCTGGGTGGATATAGTGACTTCTTTATCATGGGAAGCTGCTTTATTTGTGAAGCCTGATGCCTCTGAGGGCAAGGCCATGGATCCTGATGGCTATGTCAAGGTCAAATGTATTGCGACTGGTACACGCAGTCAAAGGTGATAAGCTACAACCACTGATTTATTTTCTTCCCTTCACACCCCACCCCCCGTGGCATGTGGGCGGGGTTTTCTTCACTTTTAATTAGATGTTGGTGTTAAGAGAGCTTGTATCCCATAACAAATATTAGGACCACTAAGGTTGATTTATATAGTTAAGGGGTCAGTCCACCCATTGCCAATGAATTTTGGGTTGAATGCTCTCCAAATGGATTTGGGTTGGATGCCCTAACCGTTGGTTAGACAATAAGGTTTTGGTTGTTAAATTGGAGAGGAAATACTAGTCGTTTCAATGTTTATTCAATAGTTTACAAAACACCGAGTGGTCTTGGATCCATGCAATTTAGTACATCATCTTTATGTAATGTGGTCTTTTATGAAGTTTGAATATGACATACGAAATAAGTTCTTCATGGTTATTTGATTGACCAGAAGAAAAATTGGTTTCTGCTTTTTAGTAACCCTGACCATACATGCAACGATGAAAGAAGCTGAAATTTTTGTTTTTCTTCTTAGAAGATTTGAACAATTAATGTAAATCTGAGTTTGTTAGCACGATATTTCCTTTCTTATTGAAAAATAAATACACATATTTGCACAAATGCGAAGTGAGGCAAGAAACTCTTTCTAGAAATTTGAACACTTAACAAGTTTTGTGTTTGTTGCCACAATCATCATCTTTTTCATAAATGACAATAGCACAACATATTTGCACATGCACCAAGCTGTACAATTATTATAGTGTTGAAAGAGAGAATTGTGTTCGAATGCACATGAATTTGGCGAAATATTCCTTATAATTGTCATTAAGCTGATATTGCACATCACTGTTCCATTTGCAGTCAACTGATCAAAGGCTTGGTGTTCAAAAAGCATGCTGCTCACAAGCACATGCCTACAAACTACAGGAATCCTAAATTGTTGTTGATTCAGGGTTCTCTTGGTTTATCCTCTAGTAGGTTATATTCGTTTGACTCAATGAATGAGGTAACACAATAAAACTGTCCTTTATCTGGTTAAATAGGCAGGGTATTCTCTGTTAATATGTAATTACCTGTTCACATTATATCGGCAGGAGAAGGATAGTCTGAAATCTCTGATTGAGATGATAGAAATGTGTCAGCCTAATGTGGTTTTGGTGGAGAAAACTGTGTCTCGTGATTTGCAAGAGTCTATTCTTTCGAAAGGAATGACTTTAGTCTTTGATATGAAGCTCCATCGTCTAGAGAGAGTTGCTCGTTGTACTGGTTCAACGATCTTATCCTCTGATACATTGATTGGCCAAAAGCTTAGGCAGTGTGATTCCTTTCATTTTGAAAAATTTGTCGAAGAACATGCCGCTCCTGGTGATGGTGGAAAGAGACCAAGTAAAACTTTGATGTTCCTTGAGGGCTGCCCTACACGTCTGGGTTGTACGGTGAGTCACGTTGCTAGTTCCATTTTTTGTATTCCAGAATTTTAAGGTCGATATCATTGTTGAAATCCCTTGAAGATGATTTATTGTGGTTGATGGCTTACAATATCAAGAAGCCTCGTTCACTGTAACTGACAGAAACTTGGGGCCAAATGGTATGGCTTTGCTAGATAGTTGCCAATGAACATATTCACTATATTGATCGTGTGACCTCTCTGGAACTTTATAGATGTTGTGTCACTTGTTATTTATTTGGTGACACTTGTAATCATAGCGAAGTTTGATCTCTTGAGAAAGGCCATTTAAGTGAAAGTTGATGTGTTGACCTGTGCACCCAGTGGTGTAAGGTTCTCTCTGGGTTTTGATGCCATGTGACAATTAAATTTTAACTTATCTGTATCCATTAATCTCCTTGTCCAAATTGTTACCATCTAATCTTTTGAAAAGCCTAGTAATAGTTTCCCACCATGTAATTCCTTAATCTTTTGGTATGATAAATTAGTAGGGAAGAAATACATAATACTCCCATCTTCCTTTTAGTTTTGGGCAACTGCAGCACAATCTTGTGGAAAATAGGCTGTGTGGGCCATACCAAGCCTGAATGGAGGCCCAGACTCTAGGTGAGGTGCAGGGTTGGCAATTCACAACCATTTGTATGTCATCCTTTTTTTTTTTAAATTTTTTTATGGGATAGTTGATAAGAGGGGACAAGGATCTAAACCGATATACCCCTGTGGGTGAGTTAATATTTTTTTTCCCATTGTTCTGGTAGTATATATTTGTTTGCCAAAAACGTGAAATGTGACAAGTAAACGATGAAGGTTTTTTTTAATCTTGAATAAATGCACAAGGTTTATTAACTTTTGATGAGGACAATTTGATGGTTATGGTTTCTTCCGACATATGCATACGAAGGTTTAAGAGATGATGATGATTGGGTTAAGTGTTCACATATCTTTGTGCAGCATTTGAATTTATTTTTCCTCATCTCCCCTACTGTAAACATAACATGCAGCAGACCTGCACTATTGCCTGTATGATGGCATTTAAGACCATATTTTATATGCTTTTTCGAGTAAGTACATTTTATATGTTAATTTTGAAGTTTTCCAATTTCTGGCCTCATTACTTGCTCTTTAGATGTGTATATATGTGTGCATGAATTTTTGTCATAGTATACCTCTGATTGAGTTGATTTTAAAAATCACAAGTTGTTATGCTCAAAAGATAATATAAACCTGAGAGATCTTCCCCAACTTTACCCTCCCGCGACCAGGAAAAAGTCCATTCCTAAATATTTAGTTATGTCCTGGACATACTACTGTATGTGAATTATGTAAGTGTGACCATATGAGATCTTAAATCCTGATAACCCCGGCTGTGCAAAGATATTATAAATTTGAACATGGTCGTCTGGAGTTTAACTGGCCTCTTTCCCCCTTGATAATTCTGTTAAATAGCCAATTTCAACCTAGAAAGTCTGAGTATGTTATACTCGTATGAAATATTATAACTATTAGTTCAATGTCCGAAAAGAACCTGCTGATATTTCTTAAGTGTGTGTGTGTGCATTTACCTTCTAACACTGTGGCAGTAATTATGAAATACTGGCCCATTTTGATTTTGAATTTGTCTGCAAAAGCTATATGGTTCTACTAGAATTCTGAGATCTCATTTTGTTAGGCAGCCAGTATTTCTATACAATGAATTGAACCACTTTGACTTTGACACTAACCCATTTTGATTTTGAATTTGTCTGAAAAAGCTGCATGGTTCTACTAGAATTCTGAGATCTCATTTGGTTAAGCAGCCAGTATTTCTGTACAATGGATTGAACCACTTTGACTTTTACAATCCTCTAATAACCTACCTACTCCATTTTCATACTGTGTGACCATTAACATTGCCTTGTAAGTTTTAACCCCGTATTGGAGATTGATACTGAGATTATAGAATGATCCACTGTTTCGAACAGCTAGAAAGTATTTTTTCGAGATCTAGAAATAGTGAGGGTAGGTAGTATTTTCAGAGCTTGAACAACACAAGTGGATAGGCAAGAATTTTCAAGCATCGTCTTTCACAGCTGCGGGAGTGATGTACAATAACTAGGAACATCCAAAGCATGGACCGAGAAAAGTGGGTTCAGTGTCATAAAGCTTCAGCAACCATGATGATAATATAAGCATGTGGATTCAAGCTGGTTACTCTTTAATTTTTTTAACGTTCTTCATGTATCAGTTATTTGTTTGAACACGCAGGAACATATGAAGAAAATGTAATAAAATTTTCACTTAGTCACCCTGCTTGGGCAATGTATGAAGACACTATTAAATTGCCTACAGTAAGACAAATATATATTTTCAACTTTACGTGAAATGCAAGGGACCAACCTGAATACCTAATACTCATGAGCATGAATGGCTCTGAGGGTATCATTGCCCGTCTGCGCTGATTCTGATGTTTTGTGGATAGTAGTTCCTCCGACGTGCTTTGACTACTATTCTGTACTTCCTCATGGAAATTGCCAAATGATTAAAACAAAATGGGCCAAGTCTTTTATGTCATTTCCCTTTGCATTTTGTTTTCCATGATTCATTTTTCCTCATTGTCTGTGATGTTCCTCTGCATCTGCAAAGGCCATTTACGTTATCATGGTACCTTGTTATGGGTTTTATGATTTTCATCTTCCTCTTGCTGACAAGACCTATTTTGCTGTTTTTGCGTAAAGTTTCTTTGATTTAGGTTGTTTTCATTTTTGACTTGGGGCAAGCGTGACCTAATGTTCACTGTAAATGACCTTGTAGAGTTAATAACTTTCGTATCTGATGTGTCCATGGTCCATGGAATTTCATTGCGAGTCTTTTTTATAGAAACAACGCCTTGCTGAATGTGTGAAATTTGTTTCTCACAGATTTTGTTGATGGGAACACACAGTGACGAGCTGAAGAAGGTCAAATGCGTTGTTCAATGTGCAGTTGTCATGGCATATCATTTAATCCTTGAGACTTCCTTTCGTCTAGATCAAACAATGATGTTTTCTACCATTCCTCTTACTGTAGAGGCAAATTTGTCACTTACTGATAAACAATCCCCATCTGGTGGCTCTGGTGGTACAATTGTTTCTTGTTTTGAGGTGCCTAGTGGTGAAAGTGACTCATCATTTTCAATTGATGTTCCCATCTCGAATGGAGTCCATGAAGATGACTCCCCAGACTTAAACTCGGGATTAGAAGGCAACTCATCTTTGTCTTTTGAGCCGTACAACCCTGTCATTCTTTCTGGGTTATCATATCTCTCAGCCTCTCTTAAAAAGGTCATGGGGGATAACTTTCCTCTTTTTTCTACTTCTCGTCAGTGTATGTCAGCATGCTTTGACTTTGATGAAAGGTACCCCAATGGTCAGATTCAAACAGATGTTCATGTTTCGAGCTCTCCGGATACAATTGATCATGGTGATATGGAGGTAAAGGGTAGGCCTGATGAAGAGAGGGCACTTGATAATGAACAACCACTTTTATCATCAACTGGTTGTGAAGCACCTCTGGAAACACACAAGTCTGGTGGTAATAATGAAGACCAAGTGCAGAGTAAGGATGACATTAGCACAGTGTTGGATTCTGCAAGTATTTTGGTTTTGATGTCAAGCCGGAATTGTACAACGGGGAATATGTGTGAGCATAGTCATTTTTCTCACATAAAGTTCTACCGGAATTTTGATGTTCCTCTTGGAAAGTTTTTGCGGGATAATTTACTCAATCAGGTTAATAGAACTCTGTTATGGCATTTAAAATGTTACGTGTCACTACTTAGCTGCACAGTAGATCTTTTGTGCGTTGAAGGAGATAATGTAGCTGTCTCCGCACACACTCCAGTTGAATTACTGAAGGAACCCTCAGTGCCCATGCTGAAGGATGTTATTTGTATTTGTTGAGGCAACTTCCAGTTCTTGTTTTTCTTTTTTAACCAGATTTTTGCTGCATTTACTTGTAGTTGCCAGTAACCGAATCTGTTGCATTATGCAGAGGCTCCAGTGTAAGACGTGTGGTGAACCTCCAGAAGCACATTTTTACTACTATGCACATCATAATAAGCAACTCATGATTAAAATTAGACGTCTCCCTATAGCCAAGTGTTTACCTGGTGAAACCGAAGGGAAGCTTTGGATGTGGAGTCGGTGTGGTAGATGTAAATCCCACAATGAAAACTCAATGGCGACCAAGAGAGTGTTGATATCCGCTGCTGCACGGGGTTTGTCATTTGGAAAGTTTCTGGAACTCAGCTTTTCAAACTATTTTTTATTCAGTCGACCATCTAGCTGCGGGCATTCATTTCACAGGGATTTTCTGTACTTCTTTGGGTATGGATACTTGCTAATAAGATAGTTGTTGGCAAATGGTGCCTTATGTTGCAAATGATACCTTTTGTGTTTTTCGTTTCTCTTACTTTTAATGTACTTATGGCATTTCCATGAAACATGCAGATTAGGCCCCATGGTTGCACTATTCAAGCACTCTCCAGTTGTAAACTACTCTGTGTCTATGCCTCCTCAGAAGCTGGAGTTTGGCAACTCAATCCGAGGAGAGTTGCTTGTGAAAGATTTTGAGAATGTATGTACTTCTATAAGCATGTTTGGTTTTTGGTTCCTACTGGTGCTGTGTTGATTATTTGACTGAAAATGAATGTGGCATTTGTATTTGTTGTCTTAGGTGCACATGAAAGGAATTTTAATGTTCATGGACGTTGAAATATCTTTGAAGGAGATCAGATCTCAATTTGAAGGCTTAACTCTGAACCTTAAAGGATCATCAAAGGATTTTTCTGATATTGAGGAGATGCTGAAGCAGGAAAGATTTCAATTTGAGGTTAAATAATTTTCTTTGCTATACCTGTCCTTTCATGTCTTTTGATTTATGTGATAGCACTTCTATCAGTCTTATGAATTTTATTTTCCCTTGTATATATATGTTTGTCAATACCTATGTTCTCTTTTCCTCAAGTTAAGATAATGCTTACTGTGAAAAAAAAAAAAAAAAAAAAAGATAATGCTTACTGTGGACTGTAAGTTGGTCTTTTTTAAAATGCTTGTACTTGGCATGGCATTTTTATAAATTTTAGATACAAGGACTGAGGAGGATCCAATACTGTTTTACATGTGAAAGCATTCACATACGTGGGCATGATCAGCCAGGGGCGGATCTGCAGTGGGGGCAACTGCCCCCAATGCAACTCTAAAAACTTTGGGGTGTAAGTATAATTTTTTATTTTAATATTGTTTGCAAATTGCCCCCAGTTAAAAGATTTACAAGATATGACCAAAAAAATGAAAGAAAAAGATTTACAAGAATTAAAGGGAAGTATATGTATTTTGACTAACATGTGCAGTTCTTTTATAAATTTTGGAGTAAGGCTTGAAAGAGAACACCATCACCAGGTCTTCTGTCCTCACTTTTCCATCTACTGCTTTATCTCCTTTTTCTAAGTGGCTGTATGGCACAGGCAAACCGGTGAAGAACAGAGATGTCATCCTTCATTTCTTGTTCTTTTCCCTCGGTCTTCTCCTCAGTGCTATTTTTATTTGCGGAATTAAACTTGGGCCTTGAAGTTTGTTATATTTAATTGGATCGCAACAATTGGAATTTGCATTTTAGGTATTCTATTCGGTTAAATTGTTTTGATTAATTCGACTTGAGTAATTTAATTATGAAAGATTAAATTGTTCCTATATTTAAGTTTGATTTAATAGACTTCTGATAAATTTAAATTCTTTGATATATTTCTGTTATTTATAGAACTTATAATTTTGTTTCTCAATGATAAATATTGTGTTGTGTGTGTCTAACTAAGCCACTTAAATTTTGAATCAGCTATGAATAAATTTTTTTATTACTGACCACTTGGTATAATTTTTTTTTTTGTTGGCGGCACCCCTGTGATTGGCTATTGCATCTTGAACTCTCTTTCTTCCTTTGGTTTTAAGTTGGCATTATATGGCATATCAATCATGGAAATAAGTATTAATAATTAGCAATGTAATACTATTTATTAAGAGGGAGGCAAAGTCTTCCTTTTCTTTTGACCATGTCAAATGTCTATGATATCTTGTACTCTCCCTTTCTCGACTACCATGGTCCATGGCCCTTTCCCCTCTCAAGTCTCAACCAACCTCAACCACTATTGTCTTTCTCTCTCTCAATCATCCACCAACGTATATTGTAATTCCCACTTGGTCACTTAACATCATCTTTCTCTTCCACTTCCCCTCTTCTCTCCATCTAAAAACCAAGACATAACCGATAAATTTAAAAACTTTTTGAAAATTTAAGGCTTGCTATATTAATAGCTGTATTTTGCACATACAATGCGTACGCAATGGATTTTGATTTATATAGAAGTGCTTACATTAAAAAGACCATTATACGTATATATTACTCACAACTGGTGTGTTTAGAAGAAGTGTTTGAGAATGTCTGCCCAGTGTTTGATCAGTATTTTGTAGCACCCGACTGTGACTCAGACGAGTGTCCATTAGAATTGTTGGGAGTGAAAAAGATGCACAAACTGAGTGCAGAGCCTATATATAGTGAAATAAGAGTGCAACTGACTAGAACACCCCTCTGGGCTTGGTAAGACATAAAAACTATAGTAAGGAAAAAATAGATAAAAAAGCTAAACCTCCTAATAATTAGGCTATAACTCTAACACTCCCTTTTAAATTAGACGCAAAGATGTCAATCAAGCCAACCTTGATAATGAAATCTTGGAGAATGGATTGAGTGACAGGTTTAGTGAAGGCATCCGCAACCTAATTACTAGTCCCCACAAACGATGGGGTAACAATGCCGCAACTGATCTTCTCTCGAAGAAAGTAAATATCGATCTTTATGTGATTTGTCCTCTCGTGTAGTACAGAGTCAAAAGCAAGTTGAATAACATATCAATTATTACAATATAATGTAGATGGAGAAGTCACTAGAAATCATAACTCGCCAAGGATAGACCATAGCTAGATAATCTCACATAGGCCAAGACCCAGTACCCGATACTCTGCCTCTACTGATGAATGAGAGACAACTGTTTGCTTCTTGCTCTTCCGAGAGATAAGACGAGTCTCTCGAAAATTACAAAAGCCCGTAGTAGATCGATTGTTACAAGCTCCCCCATAATCTGAATCTGAATAACTGGCTAGAGAATTGGTCTGTGACTCCGAAGCATATAACTACTAAGTTTTGGAGAAGACTTGAGGTACCGAAGAATATGATATACATCTAGATGAGACTGACATGACTTGTGCATGGATTGAGTAAATCAAGTGACAACAAATGAAATTTCTGACCTAGTATTGGCTAGGTAGGTAAGTTTACCTATCAACCTCTGATAAACAGTAGGATCTCTCAACTCCTTAACTTTAGCAGTAAGTTTCAGGTTTGGAATCATAGGTGATGATGTCGGTTTGTACCCCAACATTCCAGTATTTGAGAGAAAATTTAGAACATACTTCCTCTGAGAGAGAACAATACCCCTGTTGCTATGGGCAACCTCAATCTCAAGAAAGTACTGCAGAAATTCAAGGTCTTTCACATTGAAGGCCTTCCTAAGGTCAACCTTGATCTGTGCAATCCCAAAAATGTTATTCCCAATAATAATGTCATCCACATATACCAAGAGAATGACACACTGTCTAGTAGTATTCCGTTGAATGAAGCATGTATAATCAGAATGACATCTGGTGAAGTCGAAATGTATAACCACACCACTAAACCGAGAGAACCAGGTTCGTAGTGACTGTTTTAGTCCATAAAGAGACTTATGTAGTTGACACACCTTTCTAGCATACTCCACCTCACCACGAAAGTCAGGTGGTGTATCCATATAGATAATCTCGTCTAAGTCAACATGAAGAAACACATTGTTTACATCCAACTAATGAATGAGCCAAGAATACGAGGTAGCCAAAGAGATAATTAAATGAACCTAAGTAAAGCCCTTCACCACAAGTCTAGCCTTATGACGATCAATAGTACCATCTACAATAGTACCCAGTGACAGCTAACAGGCTTCATCCGTGAAGGTAAAGAAACAAGATCCTATGTATGATTACGTTGAAGAACGTCCATCTCTGTCTACATAGTGAGAATCTACTGAGACTCTCATTTAGCATTTGAAACAGAGCGAGGAATTGGGGTAACTGATAATGCCATATTATAAGCCCCGAAATGTAGGAGACAATGTATTATAAGAAATATAACCAGAGATTGGATATAAAGTTCTGATGACCCAACCATAACTAACAATTAGCTGGCGATCACGATGCAGATAACGACGTCCTGAATCATTCTCCTCCACATATAGAGTCTCATTAGATAAATCAACTGGCTCAAAACCTCAAAACCTACAATCTCATCAGTGCTAATAAAAGATTCAATAGTAAGTTCAACTAATTAAGATACATTACCGGCATCACCTGAAGTAGAGGTGATATTAATAGGAATATAATAGCGAGGTTGACGAACATAATCCTGCAAAGGAGGAAATACTGGGATATCATGTGTAGAAGGAGGAAAGACTGGGATATCATGTGTAACTGGCGACTCTGGAATGACAGTGACTAGTGGCTCCGATGGCAAGGGAAAATCAAATGGAGTACCGTCAATTGCTAATGTAGACACTATACTAAAAACAGAAAAATAAGGTACATGCTAAAAAAATGTAACATTTAGATTGTGATATATACGATGCTGGACTTGGTTATAACACCAATAGCTCTTAGACTGCTAATAGTAGCTCACAAAGACAGCACGAATGGCTGTATCATCAAAGCTTACGACTAGTGGGAGACCGATTCTGAACAAAACATGTACAGTCAAAGACCCAAGGAGGGACTGAAAAAAGTGTCTGCTCAAGAAATAAGACCTGTAATGGAGCCAAGATTTAGGCACCCCTATATCTCTACGCATATAACGTACCATTCCTATTAAACTCCTATTTTTTCTTTTAACAACTCTAATTTTACTTAGGAGTATATGGGCAGGTAAGCTGCTGAAGGATACTCTGAGAAGAAAGGTGAGAGATATTAAGACATCAGACACATATTCTTTGACATTATCTGAATGAAGAGCTTGAACAATGACATCGAATTGTGTCTTAATCATAAGTAGAAATTGAGTGATAACAAGGAGCACATCTGACTTCTTATGCAAAAGGTATGCCTAAGTATAATGGGTATGATCATCTATAAAGGTCACATAATATGGGGCACCTGATAGAGTAGTAACAAATGAGGGTTTTCAAATATCAGAGTGTATTAGGTCAAATGGCCTAGGAGACTAGTGCATATGAGAAATATAACTGATCTGAACATGTTTAGATAGTAAATATATAACATAGTCAAATCTACCACTAGCACAAGCATTACTCAAAGTAGGAAATAACATACATAAATATTTAAAATTTGTATACCCAGAACAGTCATTTCACAACTGAACAGTATGTGACGCTCATGCTACTCAATCATAGAATAAACCTCATAAAGAGAAGGAAACCTCAACATTGACAGTATTTGCGAATGAGGTCTCTCAAATTCATCACGAAGTCCCGTAAAGAATTTGTGAATCCTATCATCTTACTCTTGAGTTTGTAGAAATGTCGTTCTCTCGGGCTTTATTCTTGGAATAGCAGTAAGAGATCGTAGAGTCTCATACTTAAGCCAGCATTGAGTCAGATAGTCATAGTAGTCCTGAATTGTCATATTTCCCAGTCGAGCATATGAGAGCTCCTAAGAAATCTCATATACATGAACTCCACAACCTAATTGTGAATACATCTCTGATAATGCGCTTCATAGTAATGAAATTAATAAATCTTGCAAACAGATGACTCCATATATCTAAATAACCATCCAAGAATAGTGTAGTTCTCAGAGAACCATGCAGCATTTCTAGGATCGTCATCAACTTGCTTCATGTGCAATTCGGACAGTCAACCAAGGTTCCCAATACCAGGGCCGACCTAACCATATTGTAGATAAAGCTTGGGCTTTAAGCCTTACAATTTGAGGAGGCCCTACAATTTGAGTTATATAATTAATCTACATTAAAAATTTAATTTTACAAAAATTTTAAGTCCTATCAAGAGGCCTAAAAAAATTTAAGTTCAATCAAAATTTTTAATTTCAATAATTTGGGCTCATGATTTAACCTATAATATTATAAACTTAAATCAAAAGTTAAAAAAAAAAAAAAACTAAACATATAAAAAAAATTTACTCAAAACTCACATAATTCTTCATCTATCAAACACACATATAATAACTAAAAAATAAATTAATTTTTATTATTAAAAATAAAAATTCTCATTCGATATTATCACTTTAGGCCTCAAAATGTTTTGGGCCGCCCCTGCCCAATACGCTCCAAAAAGAGCTAAAATAAACATGACCACTTTGCAAAGCTACGACCATCCAATAACTATACCGTAACTTTCTGAGAAACCATATCCAGTATTGCCGGTAATGTAACTGTACCAATAAGTATTGTATATTGGTCAAACATAAAGGTGAAAATGGTAATCCTTAGAGAAGTGGCCAGTATCTTCTCAGTGGAATTAACAATGGTTGAGCTCTCAAGTCCCTCACCAGTGACCATAGCAACAATAGTAATGCAGCAACTGTGAAAAAAAATACTCTAAAATAAATAGAGTTAAACAAGGGAGAGCAATATACCTCCAGTCAAACAATAGTAACAAATAAGAGGTCCAGAAAGCTCTCAAATAACAGGTCATGACTCCAAGAAATTTAAAAAAAATATAGAGGTGATTTCCTACATCAAAAGTAGATCAACAGAGGGGATCCAACCCCACTAAAAGTCCATAGGGTGCTCCGATCCTAGGGAAAAGAGAAGCCAATAGCGTGGAGGTGGTGGCACTGGCGGGAAGGAGTGGCAGCGCTGGTGGGATGTGCTAGCAGTGCTTGCTGTCATTGGTGGGAAAAGGTGGCGATACTGGTGGGGAGGGTTAGGGTTTGGCAGCTAGGGTGAGGGTTAGGGAAGGTTAGAGTTTGGTTGGATCTGATACTAACTAGAATTGTTGGGAGTGAAAAGGATGCACAAACTAAGTGCCGAGCCCCGTATATATGACAAAATAAGAGTGCAACTGACCAAAACACACCTCTGGTCTAGATAAGATATAAAAATCATAGTAAAGGTGAAATAGATAAAAAAGCTAAACATCCTAATAACTAGGCTATAGCTCCAACACCAAATAGAACATAAAATTCTTTGCCCAACTCGTGTGAAGTAATTTTACTTGCTATGAACATAAGTGGAACTAAAGTCTTCAATGGCAAAGAAGTAGATATGAAACTTGGATTGAAATTAGAAGAGGGAAGATTACATTAAAGCACAAAAATAAGGAAATATTCTTGGGGAACCCCTCCTCCAGGTAGGGGACTCACTCATCTTCTGGAGAAAATTTGCTCAACACTCACTTGGAGGCTCAAATCTCTCACATTGACAGTTTTCAATAGCCAAAAACTCTCCCTCTTCTATTCCCATGCAAGCATAAATAGTATTGACCATAGTTATTATTAAATTCATAAATTGAGATTCGTATCGGAAATTGAAATCTTAGATTTAAAATCGAGAATTGTATTAAATCGAAAATCGTAAGATTCGACATAAAAGTTGAACAATGAAAAAAAAATAACATGTACATATTTAAAATAAACAAGATATTAAATATTAAATATTGAACATTATTGTATTTAAAAATAATCAATTGGCGCTATTGTCATGATCACATCGTTTAAATGAAAAAATGCTAGCCTTTATGAATCTTTATAAGTTTCACTTGAGTTTGTACCTCTATTATTTTTTTCTTAATGAATAATAAATCGTTCCTTCAAAATGGTCACGATGAAAGATGTATTATTTTTAACCAACAAATAGTTATTGTCTTCCTACCAATGAAGTTAAGATAAAATAGAAAAAATTCATATTGATTCGAACATATAAACTTAGAGAATCACTTTCCACATTCGATTGAAAAATAATTTTTTGATGAAAAATAAAACAACAGAGTATTTATTGAAGAAGAAGAAGAAGAAGTAGGATATGCTAGGGCTTGATAGCTATTTTTGAAGAAGAAAAAGCATACTTGGAGTGAAGGAGATATTGACTCTGTATAATGTTCAGAGACGCTTGAACAGTCGCTTGAGATTCAGAGATGCGAACAAGAGATACAGAGAGAGACGCAAGTTCTATATTTTGGGATGGGCCTCTTCTTGCAAAACAACATTATTTTGACTATCTAACAGTCAAAATGTCATTTTACTATAAATAGGGGTAAGAAAAATAATAATAAAACGAATTGTATGATTCCTTTAATTCGAATCGAATCGTATGATTCTTGCAATTTAGGTGCAATTTGGACAAAAAATGATTCTATAGTAAGATACAAATCGACTAGGGACTAAATCGAATTAAATCGCGAATCGTACGATCTTGATAACAATGGTATTGGCAACTATAGATAGATATAATTAATTATACAATAAGAAATAGGTCATTCTTTCTTGAAACTACACGAGTCTCTTGGAACTCTACCATCAATTGCACAACCCTTGGGCTTCCTCAGTTGAGTATCGCATTGCTTGCATCATTCGAAGAGCTTTTGCATCATATACCTTAATCTCCTTTTTGAGCTTTGTAGCAATTATTTCATCTTTGGATGAATCAAATATAGCATCTGCAAATGCACATTTGCTTTTACCCTCTTCTGCTCACCACCTTTGGTTTACTTGAAATGAGTTTGGAAGATATGCTGTTGGATGAAGGAAAACGTACGCTACTTACAGTATTTGTGCCTGGAAGCCACATATATTTGCCTTATTTTAGCCTTGTCCAAGTGTTCTGTCGTCATTGTTCATTTGATTTTACCCTTTTTTATTATTCTTGTAGTTTGAAATTAAGTGCACAAGACGCCATTTGCTAAGTTTGACGCAGTAATGTATATAAGCCTTGTACTTTAACAAGTAACTTGATATATAAGTTGGCTACGATCTGAAGATTAATAGTGCACAATTCAATCAAAGAAAAGTTAATGTTGTTTCTATTACTGATTGATTGTGCAATTCTTTAATTAGGTCGACATTCAGAACACTGTTCAGAATGTGAATTCAGAAGATGTTTTATACAGATTTCTCAGCTTGAACCGAATACGATGGGATCTTCTGCTTGAATCATATGTCTGGGATCGACGTCTCTATTCGCTGCTCTCGTCTAATTCTCCTGTGGCTATCACAACCACCAGTAACAAAACAATGCAAGGACAAACTCATCTGAAGGAACAGGACAATACTGGAGAAAAGATTAATGGGGTACAAATTAATGTGGAAAATGGTGATAAAGTTTTTGACAATAGTGGTTCACTGAATGTCAAACTGGTGACACCTATAGAAGCAAATGATTTTCCAATAAAAGAAATCCAAATTGATGGACAAGATCAAGGATCAAGAGAACAAGATGATTTTACTTTATCTACCGTCACTGAAAATATTAGGGGAATAAAAGCAAATGGATCGTCTATCCAGGATTTTTTCGTGCAACCTCCTCTCTCTGACCATTCCACTGCTGAAGATGAAAATTTTCTGGAAGATAATCGTCCTTTGTCTGCTCAATTGCAAATAGGTGAAATTATTCCAATTACTAAAGATCTTGAGGGTGGTGGTCTTTATTTAAACCCACCTCAAAGGGGTAAATCTCCTCTTTCACCATCATGTGGTATAGACAATGCAAAGGCGTGGATGTGGACTCCTTTCCCTGAAATTCGACGTGAGTGCATGAGGGATCTCCAGAGAGGTTACTTGCTGAAATTTGAAGCTATTACTAACCATGCTGCAGACTCCACAGCTCGCAAACTCATTGCCGATGAGAGCTCAAGGCTGCACATTCCTCTTGGCACTGATGACTATATTGTGTCGGACTATGAGGATGAATTCTCAAGCATAATTGCTTGTGCCCTGGCCTTGTTGAAGGATCTACCAATTGCAAGCGAAGATCACTATGAGGATAGTAGGAAAGAGAAAGGAATGGATGCCCAAACATATGAGAGTTCTCACAGCCTGATGAGAATTTTCTCACTGGCTTCGCTGAATTGGTCTTCAAATGGTTCCATGAATTCAGATGGAATCCATTCTTCAGCTAGCATCTCTTCGGAAGGGTCACACTTGTCTAGTTTTAATAGGTTAGATTTGTTGGATTCTTTGGTTTCTTTGGAGGCTCTTCATCCGGAAGTTTCTATGGGGTTAGGGAAATTACCTGGCAAGCGTAAATATTCTGTTGTTTGTTTATACGCTAGCCAGTTCCGTGATCTGCGAAATCGATGTTGTCCCTCTGAACTTGATTTTATTGCTTCGCTATGCCGGTGTAAAAACTGGGATGCTAAAGGCGGAAAGAGCAAATCTTTCTTTGCTAAAACTCTTGATGACCGATTCATTATAAAGGAAATAAAAAAAACAGAATTTGATTCATTCATGAAGTTTGCTCCCGATTATTTCCATTATATGAATCAGTGCTATGAGATGAGGAACCAGACCTGCCTTGCAAAAATTCTCGGCATTTATCAGGTTTGTACATCAATTTCAATCCTTTGAATGTGTCAATTTTTTGCTTAGCCTATTCATTTTAATTTTTTATGGACTTTGTTTCTTAGGATGTAATTTTATTTGCAGGTTACCATGAGACAAACAAAGAATGGGAAAGAGACGAAGCATGATCTTATGGTGATGGAGAATCTTGCCTTTGGTCGAAACCCAACTCGACAATATGATCTTAAAGGCGCTCTGCATGCTCGATTCAATTCATCTGGTGATGGCTCAGGAGATGTTCTTTTGGATCAAAACTTTGTCAATGACATGAATATTTCTCCCCTGTACGTTAGTAGGAAAGCAAAGCGAATTTTGCAACGGGCTGTGTGGAATGACACTGCATTTCTCAATGTGAGTTCTGTTAATGCCTTCTAGTAAAATTCTCACAGCCCTTTTGACTGTTTTCCTGATGCGCATTTTAGATCTTAATACTTGATTCATGATGCATACATAACCAATTGCTTGTGGTTGAATGATCCACTCCTGGATGCTGTGCACAACTCCATTGACATTTTCCACTCAAATCTTTTAGATTTAAACAGAAATTGGTTCAGCTGCTTAGTCTTTATTCTTGGTTATACTTGCAGTCAATACATGTCATGGATTATTCTCTACTTGTGGGAGTGGATACTCAGCGGCGTGAACTTGTATGTGGCATCATTGACTATCTCAGGCAGTACACATGGGACAAGCAACTTGAGACTTGGGTTAAGTCCTCGCTTGTTGTTCCTAAGAACCATTTGCCAACTATAATCTCTCCTAAAGAGTACAAAAAGAGATTTAGGAAGTTCATTGATACCCATTTTTTAAGTGTCCCAGATCATTGGTGCTCTCAAAGATCTTCTAACCCATGCAGCCTTTGTGGCGTGGGAAGTGATGATGACTCTTCTCATTCAAGATCTCTAGAACTTCGGGAACATCATGATGATTCTCACCGTACGAAGTTCCAAGAGCAACAGGAACGTGATGAGGATTCTTTCCATACCAAATCTCGAGATCATGAGAAACAAAATGGTTTCCCTTCCTGAGTTTTTATTTCAGTTTTGTCATATTTCAAGCTATTCTGTATAGCGTTGATCAAGAAAATACTCCCCTCACATTCTGCAATATTTAGTGAATTTCGAGGGATAAGTTCTTTCATTATTTTTCTACCATGTCTAGCAGAAGTTAAATATGTAATTTTTGTAAATTGTAAAGTTGCTCACAGTGTACGATTCGTGTATGATTACTCATAATCAATGAAAGAAGGTTTTCAATGATGGATTCAAATGTGCTTGTGGTCTGTTAGGTGCTTATTGTTGATCGCCTTGTTCCGCTAGTTAGAGTTGTGCTCTTCTTGAGCTGATTGTGTGCACCAAAAGATGTGTTGGCGGAGCTACTTCTTGCTGTTACTAAGGAAAGAGGCCAAAAAACTTTGACTAATAAATCACAGTTTTAGAAACTTTTGCACTTGAAATTGCATTGATCCTTTAGATGTTCATTTCATTATGATTTTATGCCTCGTTTAGAAAGCCTTCACCAGGCGCCCCAGAAGTGAGACTGCATATATTTGAGACTTCAGTTAACTAGGCAATGACGAGAGTCGTTCACTTGAGTTGCTGAGTTGCTCTTTTTAACTCTTGGATACGGGCCATCAAAAGTAGGGTTGTTAAAAAAACTAAACCAAACGGAGTTTCAGGTTTCTAACCCCCAAATATGATCGAGGGTGAAAGCAAAATGGTGAGCTTCGTTCGTTTATACCGATGAGCTTGAGTAAGTTTTAATTCAGAGCCATTCAGACATATATATACAAGTAAAAGATCTTTTTTGGATAACTAAGAGGCATCCGGGTTTTTAAGAGCGTTCGTCGTAAGATAATTATTGTATTGTCCTATCAAAATTTGGTGAATATATATGTAATTTAGCCAAGATTTGTGAATGTGACCGATGGATCCTGTAATGATCATGGCTGGTACAAGAAGGAAATAATTTACCAAGCAAAATACGAATGTTGACGATGCCCTTGAAAGTACAAATGGCAAATGTGAAGATTTTTCTATTTAGTTCTCCCATTTTTGGAATTATAATCATAATACATGTATATACATACGTGTATGATAACAAAGGAAGAACACCCGTGCACTGTTATGTGATATACATAGAAAACTGGGAATGAATTTGATGCGTCACATAATCTATACGTGTTGGGGTTTTGGCGAGGGGAAGCCATTCAAATCACCAATCTTTTGCTACTTACGAAGTTATAAACAGAAAGTAAATGGTAAAACATTATAATATTTTTGGTAGATTAAAACAAAGAAAATAGTTGCAGACACCAGGTATGAGCATCAAAGATAGCCATAACAGAGATGTTATCCATACCTTTTGTTGGTACTGTTAGCAAAACTCAAGAAGGCTATCATCTGCAGGGAAATCACCTCAGAGAGAGAGAGAGAGAGAGATGAACACAGAATAGTTCCACCATTGATTTCACCTGAAGAGTTCTATAGACATTCACGTGGAGGAGAGGCTTTTTCGGATCAAGGCTGGCTTTCGTTTGAAGATACACACAAGCATTTGAGTTTGAACGTAAATTGTTTGGGTCAAAGTTCAATTTTTGACATTTTCAAAGGACTTTAAATGGGTCTCATGTTGTTTTGCTAACTAAAAAAAAAAAGAATACCCGTGAAAAGTGACAACAGATCAATACAGCACAGGGACGTGATAGAGAAGAAGACGTAACATTTGCTAGGATGGGCCGCCTGTGCATGGTTTCATATGTTAATATTTCTTTTTTTTTGTTCAACTTTAAGGGATGTTCGGACTAATTTACGTTTATTTTGACTAATTTTATCTCGGTACGGTCAAAGACAGATCATCCACGTCGGAATCAGGATATTCACGAGAGATAAATTTTTTTTAACCTGACCTCAAAGGGTTGCTAAAATTTAAACTCAGGACGTCTGACTGTATAGCTTATTCCAATTACCACTTAAATTATCATTTGACATTATATGTTAGCATGAACAATGCTATTGAGACCTAATTTGTTGACTTAATTCATTATAAGTTTTGAATTGACTATGAGTCCTATCAAATATTAAAATTTAGTGTTTATCTAATAGTTTCAATGAAGTCATACCATTAAATCAACAAATGAGATTAAATTTTTAAATCAAAATAACATTAGTCCATCCCAAAATCACCAAGTTTATGGAGCATAGTACCTTGACGAATAACTCAAGGTGGTTGGTTGGTTGTAACTCTCACCATAGGACTAAGGGTAGCAATTCAATCGTAAGGGTAGAGTGTCAAGGATTAATCACTTCTAACTTTGTCATTTAATTAACTGGGGCAGGGGCAGATCTCGTGATACTTACGGATTCTTTATTAATTGTGCTGTGTTCGCACACCTTAAAAATCTAATGTTAAGGCTCCTCGCTCTCTTGATCAAACCACCCAGCCATACATCCGCTACAAACCAAAATTCAACTTGATCTTTACCACAGCAAAATTAAGTAAAAAATAAATAAATAAATAATAAATCCCCTAATACTACAAAAATGCATACAATTGTTGATTGAATATGAAAAAATATTAGATTGGGTGCATTACATTGACACCCCATGATATTTGATTTTATTACACAAACATTCTCTCACGTTTCCAAAATTAGATTGAGATCACACAAAATGAACGTGGTTAACGACACAAACAAAAAGACCATTTTACCCTCGTATTAACTACTCATCAAGATCCATGAACCCAAGACCCAAGATCCAATACCCAAGACCCTTCTTCCCTTCCCTCGAAAGTTGACTCTCTCTCACGATGAATCAAAGCCCCCATCAGCCGTCTCTCTCTCTCTCTCTCTCTTCCCCTAAAACTTTTCTCCCATGCTACAACCTTCTATTCCCAACACCAAATCCAATATTCAACCCCTAAATTCTCGTTGTCTCTTTTGCCCTCAAAACGCTGAACCCAAACCTCTCTCTCTCTCAACTAAGAAGGAAGACAGCACAGCCTAACTCCATCACCTCCCTATGCAGGGCCGATACATCTCTCTCTCTCTCTCTCTCTCTCAAGACGTATCAAACGCTCGACACTTGGCGCCAACACCCAGCGGTGCAACCACAACCGCCTATTTTCACCAGCAACCACCATCGTCGAGAATTTAATCAACACCTCCATCGACCGACATCCAACCAGAGACAAACAGATCCATCAACATTTGATCTCCGATTGGTGTACGAACGAATCTTGACCTAAGGAGAGGGAGAGCGAAGGTGGTGGTTGCAGGTGGATTTTGAAACCCTAACCTTTGCGATGTAATGGTGTTGGATGATGATGGTTTGGTCCAAGTGGTGGTGGTGGAGGCAGAGGTGGTTTTAATTGGATGTGATTTTAGTCTCTCCTCTCTATCTTTTTCTCTTTGTGCTGGTGCTGTTGGGTAATAGATGCACTATTGCGATAGGGTTCACGACGGTGGTGGTGGTGGGTCTGGCTGGGTTTGAAAGTTTTAGTGGCTTTAGGTGGTGCAATTGGTGGTGGACCAGTGGTGATGGGCGGAAGGAGTAAGAATTTATGTAATTAGATAAATAATAAATAAAAATAATATGGTATAATTGGAAAGGTAATTATTAATAATTTAAAAAAATTGATTAATTTTTAAACTGTACTAATAATCCCAAATTGACTAAAAATTACTTTATTAATGTAATAGATTAGGAAATTAAACATTTTAGTGTTAAATTTTAAATTTTAATTTATATATAAAATATATAAATTAAAAAAAATAAATGAGAGGTTGGGTAAATTTTTAGGGTAAGAACAACATTTATCTGAATTCTTAAACTTAATTTTAGAGGGTATTTTTAGTATTCTAGGTATCATTGTTGATGACATCAGCTTTGACTATGAATAATTCTAACGTTGGTTAGTTAGAGGGAGTATGGTTGTTACAAATATTAAATGTCAAGGGAGTTCGGTATTATTTTTAAAATGTAAGAGATGTTCGTGTAATAAAATCAAATGTCAGAGAGTGTCAGTATAATTTATCCTATTAGGTATTTCTGTCATACAATACTAATTAACCGAAAATATCAAATATTTACGTCATACAATACTAATTAAACAAGTTTATCGCGTCAAAATCAAGTGTTTCATATTCGATATTAATCCAACCTGGTTATTATTTTCGTTAACAGATCATGTCATTTTTGAACATGTAAAAAAATTATCAACTTTAATACGTAAATTTCATGTTGAGCTCATATCATTAAGATATCATGTCAAAAATAACCTCTCCATTAATTTTATGTTGAATTCATATCGTATTAATACATCGTGTCAATTTGATCTTTTTGGATAATAAACGATATGGATTTTATTTAACTTTAAATGGAAGCATCTTTACGGATGACTTTTTGTATAAATAGTGAACATTCCTCCAACCAATTACAAGAATCTGTAACACTAATTGTGAATTTAGCCAGAGTATATGCAGCTTCATTTCCTCCCCTTGGAGTCTAAATTGCTGAGAAATTGACAAAATTGTTGACATGTTCCTTAGTTTGATAGACAAATTTTCCCGCTTCTGATAGATCCGTCCTCTCAAGCTTCACAACATCAATTATTAACTTAGAATCACCTCTATCCGGATAGATATGTCCGATTGTACTGATCTTTATATGTTTTGGTCATGTCTGCTTCTACTCCGAAAAAGAAGGTTTGGATCTTTCAATCTTATGTCGCGAGGGATGTGACCTATGTTAGGTCCATGAGATACCACCAAAATGCATTAATAACCCATCTCCACAGCCAAATACACGGCTGTAGCAGCAGCCATAACTTTCATATACTGCACCTTAAGTAGTCCCTCAATCTCACTGCAATGAGCCATTACAAAATTACCACCGCTATCCCGTACAATAACACCAGTGCCAGAGCATTTCCTCTCCTGACTGATTGCACCATCAAAATTAATCTTTAGGGTTCCTTCACAAGGGGCGCACAACCTGCTAATTCCACCTGGGAGATGGGGTTTGCCAGAGGTCCTATGAACCATTTCATTCAATACTTGACCATGAAAATTCTGTGCATACTAATTTGGCCAGGATTGAGAGCAGCCTCCCCAACTCTCACTTTGTTTTTGTTAAACCATATCCCCCAAAATATGCAAACTCATCGGGAACAGCTGTGGAGATTTATAAGATGCTCGACAATTTGGATCTTCTCATGTATAAACTCAATATATAATTGACACAATTTTTTTTGTTAGGTCTAATAGATAGATTTATAGCGAGCTTTTTTTGTTGACTCCTTTTGAATATCGTTCATGTATGTGAATTGCGTCTTTAATGAAGTTCTATTAATGAAACTATATTGTTGTGAATATTTAAAATTTTAATGTTAATGTGGTCTAGTTGCACAACTGAAGAAGATGTCTGGCTCCCCCTTGGGGTTAAACAAGTCCTTCATTAGCCATGCTGCATCAGAAAGCAATTCCATTTCCCCAGGAAAAAATAAAATCCCTAGGAAGGAAGCTATCTTCCCTTTCGGAGTTGAGAAACAGAAAAGAAAGTGTAGGAAAGGAATTGCTTTTTCTCCGCGTCTCAACAAAGAATCTCTTTTACAAGGCTAGAAAACCACAACCCTCCCAATCCAACCATATTCCTCACCATACCACCTCTTTCAAGACTTTCATACCAATTTTGTACATCAACAATGCACAATTCAATTCTCCAAGACACCATTGAGAGTGGAGAAGATGAACATGACTACTATCTAGCTGATGATGATCATGACTCGGATGGATCCCATTTCATCTATCTCGTCAACACAATACTAAGTGGCACGGCACGCCTCAACATCCTCCTCCCCACTGCCACCATCCTTGCCTTCTCCATTTTTTCACCGCTCCTAACCAACTATGGCCAATGCAATGCATTTGACCGGTGGCTCATGGCTTTCTTCCTCGCCTTTTCGGCTATATCCTGCATATTCTTCTCATTCACTGACAGTTTTCGGACAGCCACGGGAAGGTTGTATTATGGTTTGGCTACTATCCATGGAATAAGGACCTTCAATTGCGGACGTGTGAAACCGTGTTTGCCGGGTGATTATAGGCTGAGATGGGCTGATCTCTTCCATGCAGGGCTGTCATTGGTTGCTTTTCTTACTTTTGTAGCCTCCCATGGTGATGTTTTGAGCTGTTATAATGTGCAATTGCCGAGGAAGGTGACCAACACTGTTCCTCTTGTGGTTGGGTTTGTGATAAGTGTTCTGTTTGTTATGTTTCCTTCCAGGAGAAGAGGAATTGGATATCCTTTCTTGCTACAAGGTAATGCCTTATATTGTAGAAATTGAGAGATTATGTTTTGCTAGTAGAGAAACCAAAAGTTTCTTTCAAGTTTTTCTTCTGTACAAAGGGAAGTGCTAGCCTATCAAAACAAACCAATATAAAATGACAAAAAAGCTTGCTGACAGTCATTCTATTTGCCATTTTGATTTTTGGAAGAGGGGAGGACCATTCACTCGACTCACTCTCTCTCTTGGTCTCGAGTCTCACTAGACTAATATTTTTAACCAACGGGACATTTGGATATTATAAAAAAAAAAAGAAGAAGCTACATAACTGGCCATACAAGTTGAACTATCACATTGACGGAAACGAAAGGAGAATGACCAGCATCTCATCACTGAAACACACGACGGTGCGTAGGAATCTGTTGCTGCATAACCAGTTATGCCCTCATTCAACAGATAATCTGCAACTAATTAGCCCAACCGATTGCAAAAGTTGTGTTGGGCTCTCTTTTTCTTTGAATGATATATACAAAGGAAAGACTATGGTACCGAAAGTTACAAATCAGTCGGCCGATTAGAATTAATTCAAACTATTCTAAATCCTAACTTAATTCCAATGGAATCGGGAACTCAATTCACCTGAATTCAATTCAATCGCAACTTTGATAATCAACTTAGGATCACGTCTTTTTAAGCCTTTTCTGGAAGTACAATGCAATTTTTGTGGGAATATTCTATTTCAATTGGAAAATGCAACCAGATGTTTGGTTCTACCTCTTATATTTTATGAAGCGAATGGATCATTTTATCGAAGGTAAAACCCTGAACGCACATTGTTACATAGATGTCTAATTAGATATTTTTTTTAATATGTTGCCTATAAGGAATTAGCAGAAAATTAGAGTGTTTCAAAATAAATAATGACTTTCCTATGAGAGTATTAAAGATCTCATGGAAAACTTACAACTGCTTGCCAAACAAAAGCTAAAGAATAAAAAGGCACACCAATACTAGCATAACATCTACAGTTGTATTCAGAAAAACATGGGTCTTGGACAATTTGACAAAGAAATTCTAGGAAGCAAGTAAAATGTGTTAATATTCTTTTGCATTTCTTTAATTCATCATGCATTCATTCGGTCACAAGAACTCAACCAAATAGCCGTCCCAGTGAAAGAAAATGGCATATAAATTTGTATACCAAACTCAACACCATACCATTTCCCTGTTATGATAGATGGCCATTCTAAAACCCATGCAGCTCTCTGATATATAAAACTGAGGCATGATAATATCACACACGCCTCTATTTAGATGAATTGCAAAAATGCCCAACAACTCTATTTCTCTTGCATGACAGCAGAGTGCAAGTCAAAAATTAAGCACGCAGAACAAGCCTAGAAAAAAGACATGATTGAAGAATAAAAGAATCAAAAACAAACACAAACCATGTAAATAGACAGTATAATAGATCTTCAGAGTTCCAACCTAGTTCCTTCTACCTCTGCGCCGCCTAGATCCAACAACTGTCCATCCATCTTCTGCCTCAGCCGCCTCATTAAGCCTTGGCTTATCAACCATAATGTTCTCTTCACTTAAACTTAGCTGGGATTCTAGAGCATCAACTACCATCGCTAATGAATCATCATTTCCGGGGATATCCTCATTGTTGACATCGGCATTGTTGACAGCCTGTACAAAGTAAGGAAGCAAAAGAGAAGAAATAATGCACATTCACCAATACTTGTCACAACCAATTAAGGTCTACCTTAATTTTTGTCGAGTTCATGTGTCCAACGGGCAATCATGCCTGCAAATCTTTAGTAGCCCTTGTCTAATACTTCCTCCGCTCCAAAAATCAGTCTTCCTTTCTTTTTGGAAGGCCACAGTTTTTAAATCAACGTTTTGCACCTGTCTAGAAGTTTGGCGCTCAAGCCAAACTCTCTTAATTTCAGATTTTTAAAGTTTAAATGGAGGCTACTTTTGGAACCGTGAGATTTCTTACACTAATTTACAACAAAAAATAACTACTTTATTAAAAAGTTGGATTTTCAGAACACCTAAATAACAGGACAATGGGAGTAATGTGATCTGTGCATATAACATGCATCCACCCTCCCATCAGAAGCATGACGTCCACCACCATACCCATGACCTCCACCTCCACTTCTCTTTACCTTCTCATATTGTCTGAGCAAGTGTGCATGTATCAGTCCATCTATGAGTTTGCATGCATGCAGAGGTGACCATGTGCGTAAGAGAGCATATCTACGTGTGGTAGCACGTGTGCGTGTCAAGGTGGTGTTTTGTGTGTTTGTCTATGCGTGTGCAAAGGATGGATCAACGTTGTGATATCAGAGATGAAACCGAGATTTCATTGTGAGGAGGGCCAAACAAAAACCGGCCACAGTTAAAAATTTCATTCAATGAGGCCATTCCTATGTTATCGTTAATGTCAAATTTTTATTAGTATAGAACCTATCAAAATTTATACTATACCTGTATACCACGTAAAAATTAGTTTGAGTTCTAAAATTTAAAGACAAGATCGTACTTACCATCGTAAAAATTAATGTAAAAATTTGAGGTCCACTTGTTCTTTCACTTATAACATGATGTAATGATTAAAAATAAATTATAGTTAATCTTGAGTCAGTGTGTTGTTCATGTTACAAGTCATGTTTGTAACCTGATATTACAACTACAGCCTTCGTTTTTTTTGGTCATCAAACTCATACTAGCAAATGTCTTTGTCCTCAAGTGGAGAGCACTACACATTTGATTAATATCTCCATTTGGTTAATAAAGGCCATTTAACTTTTTGAGTACACTAAATAAGTATCCTATACAAACTAAAGGTGAGATAAAAAAAATTTAAACCTTAAGGGGAGTATGAGGCCATGGCTCCTCTAGGCCTCCATTTGGTTCTGTCACTGGTGGTAGGCCATAGACTCAGAGGGCTTTGAGACACATCGGTCAAGATGTTGCACAACAATATTGGGCAATATTATTTAAAAGAAGCTGAACATTTGATAAAAAAAAATTGCAAAAGAGTCAAAAACAACCATGATGTCATGGCTACAACTGAGAGTGGTGAAATTGCATACATCACATACTGAAAAGGGATGATGATCGAAAATTTGCCACCCAAAAAAGAGCTGAGGAATATGTGAGGTTGGAACTGCTCAAAGTTTGGGATCAGGAGAGCAAGATGCCTAGTCCTAAATACATATATACTAGTTCTACATAAGCAAATAACCTCGGTATATAAGCCATAATATATGAATGACTAAAGTAGTTACATGAAAATCCTGCCTAAAGCAACAAAGTTTAATTGATATATGTTGGACACATCTAATCTCCACCAAGCATGTTTTACAATTTAGACGCACTATACAGTTTAGCACTATTGAAGGACTTCTTGTTTTGCGGGAATTTCTTTGTTCTAGGAAGGATTAGGATTACCTGTTCAAACTGAGGAGCGGCAATTGCAGGAGGAGCGGCAATTGCGGGAGCAGCAGCAATTGCAGGATGAGCGATTCCCCTTAGTCTGAGAATTGAATTAAAATTACATTCCAAACATTCTTCATGCATAATCATTAATTTTTCTGCGATCTGTTTAGAATCATTATAAATAAAATAGCATCAAAACAACCAATCCGGAAAGCAGGTTGAACCTACTATTGTAAAACATGAAAATTTGGCATATGAGAGGTACAACAAAGCACGAAAAATAATGAAACATAACTATTAGGATGAAGAGAGAGCTAACCAATAATCACTTCCATTCATCTAACAAAATGAAAAATGTAATTCATAGATGCTATCTAGCCAATAGTGGTATAGTTGCTCAAGTACCTCCTCCATTGAAAGTCAACAAGCCAATATCTACTCGGTAAATATTGGCTGTAAACCTTCCAGGATTACATGGCACGGAGTTTGATCCATGCAACCTACATTTCCCATTAAGACCAGGTTCCTTACAAAAGCAAGCATAGAGCTGCTAAAAAAATATCTAATCTGTTTGAGTTACTGTGATATGGAGGATATGCCCTCCTCATTCCTGTACCTCTCCAATCTGATAGTAAAATCATTGCTTCATTAAAAATAACAGGGGATACATATCCTCAAGTCTATTCAGTAATACTTTGAGGTAGAGATGTTTGGGTAATTAAGTATCTGAGGAATGAATTGCCCCATTGCTAGTTTCTTATGGCATAAGCTTTTGTGGGAAGCGGATGTGGTGTAGATTACACCTTGCAAATGTGCTTCAGTTTTTGTGATGGTTTTTGGATGTGGTAAAAAAGCTAACATTTTATGGAGATGTACTACTTTAGCTATTTTTTGGGTGGTCTGGTTGGAAAGGAATTGGAGAATCTTTGAATGAGAGGAAGACAAAAAAGAATTGTTATGAGAAATAGTGAAGTTCTTGGCATCTCTTTGGACGGTGGTTACTAAGGAATTTAGCGACATTCCTTTATCAGTTTTGCAACTCAATTGGTAGGCCATTTGTAGTCATTAGTTTCCTTTGCATTTTATTTTTGTTTTTTGGGTGGACTTCTAATCCACCATTAATTGTATTTTTGAAATATGCAGCTTTTGAAGTCTATGAAATGAAAGTGAAAGTTTAGTTTTCTATGAAAAAAAACAATAACGATATATAAGAAAAATCAAGGTCACAGACTTCCAACCCTAAACATAATGGACTGCTGTCGGCACAAATGAAAATTTTCTATTGGAATCGGCTAGAAATAGAAGCAATTTCCATGAACTCCAAACACATCATATATGAAACAAATAACATTTATGTTTCAATGCTGTAACCTTCTTGATGAACATTGTGTAACTGCTCCAGTTTCTCTTTCTTCTTCACATGCTTCTAAACCAACAAACTAACAATCCTACTTTAAACAAAAAAAATGAAATAAAAAAATGACACAATAATGTTTTATACTCCATTCACTGATTCAAACATTTCAGCAATCACAAGAACAAGGATCACACATAACATGAGCCACTTAGATCCAGAATGTACCAATATTTAAAACCATTCTTTCTAGGGTGAGGCCAGTGTGCACAAAGGGGGTTTGGGGACCTAGCATATTTTAATTTTGAGATGTCTCGAGTCACTATTTTTGGATAATCTGTTTTTAAAGTGTGGGTCACTAGTTTATTTCTAAGCTTATGTTTGAAAAGCCACGAGTACTTGCATAAATTCACATGGTACATTTGGAATCACTAGTAATGCAGCACGTGCATTGCACATAAAAAATTTTAAATAAATATGTTTTAAAATTATGAAAATTTAAATTCTATGAGTAATTAAATTAAATATAAATTAGGTGTCGAAGAATTAATCTTTTTTTTTTTATTTCTTCCTAAACTTAAATATGGGTCTAATCTACCCCTCTTCTATAGAATTTACTCTTTTGCTTATAACGAAGTTTGATTGTAAGATACTTGACGGAAAAAGAAGCTTCATGTAAGATTGTTCCTTTCAAGTGTTTGCACATCAAATTGTATCATAGATTATTTATATTTTTTTAGTCAAATAGATTAATTAGATGTAATATTATTGTTTGGATTAAAATATTGTTATATTGGTGCATACATAAAAAAATCAAATATGACATATATATGATTGTAGAATCCAATCTCGTAACTATGTGTATATTACAATAGAACATAAATTGGACTTTGTTTTTTTATATAAATATAGACATGAATATAAAAAAATATTGTAAGTATCATACTTATAAATGAGTTCAAAAATTTTGGAAAGTCAAATACTACTTATACAAGAGTAAAATAGAACCTAAAAGTCAAATAATAGGCATGACAACATCTATAATTTAAATGTAGTACTTTTCACACAATTTTCAGGCTATGAAGAGAAAGAATAGGCATGATAACATCTATAATTTAAATGCACAGTGCAATTAAAATAGATTCATCGCGTGGTAAAAACGTGATATTGCACTTTCAATCTTGCCAATTTTAATCTTGCAACATATTACAAAGTTCATACATAAATGTCCAGGAAGAAAGTAGATAAGTATAAAATTAGTTTCCCATTAATTTCATACTACGAAAGGGGGGAAGGAGAGAGCTGCCAAGAATCAATCCATTTCCCACAATGATCCATGGAAAAAGAATTCTCATTCACAGAGCAAAAACTAAATTTAATTAAAACATACCTCCTCAGTGCTTCCATCTTCAATCCAAGTATTAAGAGAAACCATAAATTCATCAAGCATATTCTCTAAATCATTAAAATATAGTCTCCCTGAGCAAAAAATAAAAAGTATTAATGTAAAAAGGACAAAATTAATATCCACAAAGAACACAAAACTTCACAAAAAATAGTGAACCCACTATTTAATTTCAATCACAAATACAATCAACCATTAATTATACATCAAATTAAACATAACCAATAGAATACAAAATTAAAGTTGCTATTTTTTTCACATCTACACGTATTAAAAGGAACAAATTTTTAGTCCAAAAAAATCCATAAATGAAAAAAAAAAAAAAAAAGAAAGAAAAACGAAAATAATATACCTTCTGGTTGGGTATGAGTAAGACCAGAAAAAATATCGAGAGCGAGCTGTTGGGATCTCTGGCGAGAATGACGGCCTCCCCACTCGTTGTCGATGGCCATCTGAAGCGCTGCCCATTGAGAGAGAAGCAAATTGATGCCTTCTTGGAACAGAATGCTTGCCTCTGCTGAGAGCTCAATGGGGATTTGATTCTCCATTTGCAGTACCAAAACTCTCTGCAAAACCATAAACCCTAAATAAAATAATCCATGAACAAGTAATAGAGCGATGACACTCGCATTATGTGATAGACAAGGTACCGTGTAACACATGAAAAAAAAAAAACCGATGGAACTTTTGTTCAAAAGGACTCCATTTTGTCACGTCCTCTCCCCCTTCTCGTTCCAAAAAAAAAAAAAATTATATATATATATATATACATACACAAAATAAAATATCTAGATTCCTTTATTTTTAATTTTTCGCGGCTCAGATCACTTAAAGAAATAATGATCCTACGGTCCTAATATGAAAAGTCATCTCCCCCAATATTTTGAATAAAACTTTCATTCATTCCACAATTTTAAAACTTATATCTCTCTTATAACTCTCTATCTCATACTATACATTAATTATGTCGTTAATTATGATTCTAATTAAAGATTATTTTTAAAAAATTTAAATAAACAAATTGATCTTAAATAAATATTCTTTGCGTCAAAACGAGTAGAATGACTATAATATAAGTCATATTTTGTATTGAAATAAATATACTATAATTATCAAATTGTGTAATGTGATATATCTATATATTAAGTGGGCTATCATTATTTGTCTTGAATTTTTCGTGACTTAGATTCTTTTAAGATTATTGATCAAATGATCGAAATTCCTCCTCCAAATTTTATTTTATTCGATTATCGATTCAAAGTGATTATGATTAGTATTCGAAGTGATTATGATTATTTTTACAATCAAAGTGAAATTGATTGTAAAAATAACAAAAAATAACTAAATTAAAAAATAAAGAAGTTATGACATCACAGTGAACATGATAATTAAAAATTAGTTTGTAGGTTTAAGATAGAAGTGTTAATTAAGTCAAACTTAAATTTAATTCTCGGTTTGACGTAATTATAATTATAGTAATGTTAGATTGACTAAATTTTAGGACTAAATTTGAAGCGTAAATGATATGGCAGTTGACTTGAACTTTTTTGATTGATGTCATGTCATTTGGGCTCCAATAAAAATTTCAAATAATCAACTGTCACGTCATTTGGGCTCCAAATTTGGTCAATGTAATATTATTCTTATAATTAAGACTCAAATTATACTGAATTTAACTAACGTGTATAAATGATAAATTCTTGCTAAAACTTAAAGAGTCGGATTATTCCCACCCTATTTAATTTCTCATTATTAAACTATTAAGTCTATCTTTTTTATATCCATCTCATGATACATACATCTTTTTTTTTTAAAAAAGAACAAAATAAGGAAAAAAAAAAAGAAAGAAATAAGTAAACCGAGATAAGAAGGAATAAAAAAACCAATCAAAACTTAAAAGAACAAGTAAAACTACAAAACGTGAAATCACAACATGCAAAATCAGACATGCAAAAAAAATATCAAGCACAAATACAAAATTGAACAAGAAAAAAAATAAGAAGTATAGATACAAAACCTAAATAAGATTAAAAAAATAACAAATAATCTGAAAATTATATTTATAGGTACACACACACATATACATTCTAAATAAAAAATTATTAAACTTGACAGAGATATTAAAACATACCAAAAATAATAAAAATTCATACAACAAACATAAAATCAAATATATAATTAAATTAAAAAGTAATACTAACATGTATCTCATTGAAAAAAATTCATATTAAAAAGTATTTTTGTGAGTGCATCAGATGAAATAGAGAATGAAACTCTAATTATGACAAAATATAAGTTGAGTTTACTTATTAAACGGGGTGTATGTAGTACAGGGTGAACTTAGTTACTAATTGGGTGAATATAGAATGAGTGAACTTAATAGTTTGATAATGAGAAATTAAATTGAGTGGGAATAGCCACATTCAAACTTAAATTCGATTGAATTTTATGAATATTTAAGTTGAACTCAAATGAAAACTAATTTTAATTACTCAACAAAATTTTTTACATCTACAAAAATTCATATGAAACTTTTGGATGTTTTTCTTACAAAAGTTACACGAACTCACGTTAGAAAAATAATTTAGAGATAATGTTATGAATTTTAGGTAGAAATCTGCAGATAAACAAATAGTTATATTTTTTTGAAATTTGAGATAAAGTTTATTACAAATGTTAAAATTGTGGATATTTAATCAATAATAATTATATTTTCTCAAAATTTTTAATTAATATGTTGTAATAGTTGTAGCATGACTTTCATTATATAAAAATTTGATTATATATGCTCTGCATACAAGTTGAATAATATCAATTTGATCGTTATATTGTTGAAATTGTATTATACGTTGCCTATATTTATGAAAAAGTATTTACAATTTTTTACGAGTAACGTAATGCTTTCAGACACGAGTAATTACTAGTATATATATATATATATGAGGGAGATAGAGCGAAAATTCCATCATCATCAATGGGTATCAAGTTAAAAAGATATAATTATAATTATTTGAAAAAATTCATAACAGACCTTTAATTTCTTCAAATTATTATAACTTTTTCCTTAGAAAAAAAATAACGCGTTATAACTTTTTCTTACACGTTGTATCTACGAGTTAAAACTTGATCTTTTAAATTTATAATTTAATATTTAAAAATTATAATTTATATGATTGATTACAATATTTTGACATCACTATTACCTGAGTGGTGAGGCCACCGTAGATGGCGGTGTCCGGCAGAGAGGAAGAGAGGCGGCGAGAGTCTGGTGTGTGTGTAGACTATGAGAATGAGAGACTTTAATAGTTTATTTTTTAGGGATCGGTGGCTGGAGAACCCCAAACCTATTTTGTTGGAGAAAATATTCAATGCATCTCTCATACTTTGTTGATCGATAATACCAACTAATCTATATAATAAATTAGTTTATAATTTAAATTTAAAAAGATAAAAAAAATAATTTTTGTTATTCGTGGTTAAGATTCCTTTAAATTTATTTTAAAGTTAATCTAACGGCTAATATTAGTACCCTAAATTTAATAGGAAAAATAGTGCTCTAAGGGTGTGTTTAGAGTGACTTTTTAAAAGTACTTTTAAAAATTATTTCTCATAAATATTTTTTTTAAAAATAGTGTTTCAAACCGTTCCCCTACTACTTCTACCACCACCCCCTACCATTGCCACTGCCACTGCCACTACCGCCGCCACTACTAGCACCATCTTCCTTGTCGCCACCATCACCACCGTTGTCGCCGTCACCCCCACCACTACCACCATCGCTCCCACTCCCACCGCCACCACCACCACCATCGTCGTCGCCCTTGCTGCCACCACGATCATTACCACCACCACTGTCGCCCCACCACCTCTTACCCCCACTACAAATCGATACTTAAATTCTTTTATCTTTTCTTTATATTTGTGATTTGATTTTGGATATGAATATGTTTATTGTTTACTATTTTTATTACTCTGTACCTTTTGACACAGGTAATAACTAGTATATATAATAAAGTAGCTTACAATTTAAATATCAAAAGATAAACAAAATAATTTTTGTTATTCGCGATTGAGATTCCTTTAAATTTTACTTTAAAGTTAATCTAACGGTTAATATTTAACATCCTAAATTTAATAGAAAAAATAGAACCCTAAGGATGCGTTTGAAATGACTTTTTAAAAGTACTTTTAGAAATTATTTCTCATAAATATTTTTTTTAAAAATAATATTTGAAACCATCTCACCACTACTTCTACCACATCGCTGCCACAACCGCCACCACCACCATTACCATCGTCACTACTGCCACCATCGTCGCCACCACCACCGCCATGGCCACCCTTACCGTCGCCGCTACCTCCACCACCACCTCTGTTGCCGCCACCACCCCCCACCGTCGTCGCCCCCACCCCCACCCCCACCATTGCCACCACTACCACAGTCATTGCCACTTACCACAACCATCACTGTCTCCTACCACCACCACCACTGTCGCCCACCACCTCTCACATTCACTACAAACTAATGCTTAAATTATTTTATCTCTTCTCTATATTTATGATTTGATTTTGGATATGAATACAAATATATTTATTGTTTACCATTTTTTATTATTCTGTGTCTTTAGGCACAGACAATAACTAATTATAAAATATTATATCAACTAGAGGATGATAATACCACTTAATATTTAAAATTAAATATTTTAAGCGCTTAAGTAAATTAAACTCGTTTAATAATTTAAACCTTATACTGCTTAATATTTTACACCCCTCTTAAAAATAGGTTAAAATTTTAAGCAACAAATCTCATATCATTTAATGTTGAAAATGTTAGCCGATATTTTATAAATTCTTCATCTTTATCTATCTATATCTATATTTATAATACTTATAAATGTCAGTATTTGAGAAAAACTTTTGATTTCTTATTTTATCCCTAATTATTATAATAAAATCAATTATACCCACCTATGTAATTTTATCTAATTTTATTTTTTATATATATTTAACTTTTAACTTGTTTTGTACTCTTTTATAAGAATTTTTAAATTCTTTTAAACTCATTTATTACTAGGATACTTATATACAATTATCTATCTATATTTATATGAAGGAGTAAAGTCTTATACAATCAAATATATATTATATAATGCAAAAAACTTTTGATTTCTTATTTTATCTCTAATTATTATAATAAAGTCAATTATACCCATCAATATGATTTTATCTAATTTTATTTTATTTTATCTATTTAACTTTTAACTTATTTTAGACTATTTTATAAGGATTTATAATTCTTTTGCACTCATTTATTACTAGGACAGTTAATGACTTACATACAATTATCTATCTATATCTATATGAAGAAGTAAAGTCCTATACAATCACATATATGTTATATTTTTTTGTATGTAATAATATAATAATTTTATAAGTTATTTAATAAACCTATTTAATAAAATAAAAATTAATAATTCTATAATATATAAATAGATGTTAAAATGTTTAAAAAGGTTGGAGATATACCTAAATAAATGACAAATTAGATACTAAAAAACATAGAGTAAATAAATAATTAAATTTAGCAATATTTAAAATACGAATTAATTGTTCAGAACCTAATTTATTATTTAACTTAATGACACATATAATTCACATTTTCTATAAAAATAATATCATTTAAATTTATTTACGTGCAAGTCGTGCATGGCTAGTGATAAATAAATATAACTGCAATGTATTATACACTCTGAAACTTTTTAATACTTGTGTTACCACCATCGTCACCACTATTGTACCACCGCCAACACCTTTTTTGCCAGAACCGCCACAACTACCACCACACCCGCCACAACTACCACCACACACATATATTTAATTTATTTTACACTTTTAACTTTTCAATACCCACTATATCTACAACCACCATAATTGTGTCGTCGCCACCATCTGCACCACCATTGTGTTATCACTATCACCGTCATTGTGTTGTTGTCGTCGCCACTACCACCACAACTATTGTGCCACCGGCACTACCGCCACAACTATTGTGATAGCAATGGTAGGAATATGGTAGTTGCACTGAGATTGTTAAAAAGAAGGAAAAAAATAGAATAATAATAATTTTTAGATTTCAGTTCTTTATATTTGTTAAATAATTTGATTCAGTTCAACACTTAAATTCAGTGAATACTAAACGGCTCGCGAATTAAAAAAATGTAGTATTCAATAATTAAAATTCAACATTCAATTTTCAATATTTAATTTTCAGTTTTATCAAACACGGGTGTATTTGTTAATACAAATTAAACATTTAAAATGAATGTATTTGACACTTATTAATTAAGCCAATTTGATAACTAAAATTAAGATCTCCTAATATATTAAGTACTCCTTAAAAATAGGCTAAATATTGAGTAAAAGATTTCTTATTTAATTCTGAAAGCTGAAACTGAAAGCGCTCAAAAAGAATATCTTTTATAATTTTTTTCAATATAATAATTTTACCCTAAAATATTTCATAATCCTATTAAGAGTAACATGATCATAGAAACTCTACACCATAATTTCTAGTGAATACTTTTTTGTATAGACCGCTAGATTACGATCTAACAATCACCAAACAAAGATACTCAAAATTAATTATCTAAACCTACCAAATTTAGTTCTTAACTAAATAGAAAATGTCTATGACATATTAATTGTGATCCAGTCATATTAGGAAAGTTTATTTGGTTTTGTGAAACTTTATATTTTAACATTAATAAATAAATCTTTTGACATTTTTTACATGTATCACGGGTTGACCCATTTTGTGGGTTCAATTAGGTACATCACTGTTAGGTGGGTTTTACTTAATCTTTGCCCAAATTATCAGTTTGTCTTATTTTTTGCCCAAATTATCAGTTTGTCCTCTTTATTTTTCTCTCTTCTGCTTCTAATCAACCCAATTTATACTAGAAGACTTGATAACGTTGATGTATCTAAGTGACAAAGTTAAGTTAAAATTAGGATTGCTTATCAGAATGCATTGCCACCATCCTTTTATTATGAAACCCAACATGAAATTGATTTTTTTATGCTCAGTTCAAAATTAAAAAAAAAATTTGATTTGTTCGTGCTACAAATTGAACAAATAAAAAATATAAAAAAATAATCGGGAACTATCTTGTTATATAATCTGTATATGAAACAATAATCAAGTTGAAATTTTAAAAAAATTCGACCCCCTACTGTTATTCACAAAGATGCATTACAACCTAAAACCTTATCAACATGCAGGTATTTTTAGCTTTTTTTTAACCCAAACAGGTATAATAAATTAGATGAGAAAAAATAAAAATCATCCAGGTCATTGGGTCGATCCATTAATATTTAAGAGTAGTCAATATTTTTTTCTTATAATTACCTTAAGACTTTCCTAATAGGACTAGATTACAATCAATATTTCATAGACATTTTCCTATTTAGAAAAGAACGAAATTTGGTAAGTCTTGATAATTAATTTTGAGTATCTTTATTTGGTGATCGTTAGATCGTAATCTAACGGTCTACATAAAAAGTACTCACTAGAGGCTACAGAGAAAAGCTCTGCACCATATATTTATTAACAGATATATCTTCAACTTGATATTTATTAAAAAAATAAAAATACTACAGTAAAATAGTGGAGTTTATTTTATTTATTTGATTTTTTCTTATTGAATTGTAACGTCACGTAACGGTGATGATATGTGTCACCATTATATCGAATACAAAGCATGAAAAACACTTCCACAAAACAAAATTCAAAAAATCACCTCTTTTAATATATAACAATTCCACCATATTGTTTCACGGTGACTTAATGCCTTGAGAATCTCTCTCTCTCTCTCTCTCTATATATATATATATATATAATAGCATGATCATAAAAAAATAAAACATAATTTTTGGTGGGTATTTTTTATGTGATCTGTTAGGTGATGATCTCAGGGCTACTAATCGAAGAAGACCAAAATCAAATGCGAAAAACTACCAAATTAGACTATGAACTACAAAGGAAATCTAGTGTTCAGAAAAACTAAACGAAATCTAAATGTAATATTGATTATGCTCCTTATAATATTAGGAAAATATGTTTACGTTTTGTTAGAATATTTTAACTAAAAGGGTGTTTTTTATGTGTGAGAACTCAGTCCCACATCGACTAAATATCCAAAAGTACTTGAGTATATATATATTAGTGTTATCTAGCCTTTAAATTAAAGAGAGATCTTGCGA